CTCAGCTAACACCCCTCTCCCTCTGGTCCGAACCCATTGAAACAGCTCGTTTCCTGGGCCTCCCGTTAGTTGAGCTTGACGAAAATGATTGCACGTAGACCCGAAAAAAGCGGGGCTTAGTAGTGCTGCTACAACAACGACAACAAAAACAACAACAACAATAACAGCAAAAACAACAGCAACTACACCACAACTCCACCTCAGTCAAGTGCAATGCTTGCGAGGGGTGGAGTCACCTGAGAGTCTGCTCAGGACTACGGACACATCGGCAGTGGACCACATCGTTTGTGGCCCCCTGCTGCTCAAACAGAGCAGCCTCCACGGCTAACCCCACTCCACCTGAGCAGCTCCACACAAACACCACAGCACCACAACATAACAACACAATAGACCACACCGCAACCACGACAGGCCACATAACAGACACAACCGCACCACCACCCACACGCCGCCGCCAACAACTCCTGGTTCCTCCTACAATCTGCACGGTATGTCAGACCAGGATATTCCGTAATGTGACATCAGTCAAGTGCGACACCTGCCTTGGCTGGTGCCACTTTAGGGCATGTTCAGGTCTGCGCACCACGCGAGACTTGACCAGGAGCTTCGATGGCCCGTGTTGCGCTGCACGGTCGCAAACCCCAACTGCGACGCCGCCCACTACCACCACAGGGCGGCAACCTCCACAGCAGCGCACACAGCCAATGGCGGCAAGGCCACACAAGTCCCTCACACCCCGCATAACTACACGTCTCCCTAACCACATAAAGCTCCCTCAATTCAGAGCAAGATCGAGCACATAACCGTCTTCATGGGAAGGCATGGTATATTGATAGCTGCGGTCCAAGAGACACCGTGCAGTATCGTCTTATTGAAGCAGACATAGACCGCAGGGACACCACCATAGAATGTCAGGGCATTGCTATCCGGCCAGGCGATGTTGAGCTCGAAATATTTAATGTGTACATACCCCCTGTCACTTGCTGCCCGGCAAGGTGAAAACCGTATGGTAGTAGGTGACTTTAATGCGCACCACGATCTTTGGCACTCAAGCCTGTCAAACGATCGTAGGAGAACAGACTGGGCTGAGCAGATAGACGATTCGACATTCTGCACAATGAACGTCGACGCACTCACCAGGATTATGGGCAGCTGCTGNTACCTGTCCAGACTCGACCCCAATATCCCCAATGAGTGCCCGGCATGTGAAGGATCCCCCCACGACACCAACCACCTCTTTACATGCCAGCTCAATCCGACTCAGCTACCACCCCTCTCCCTCTGGTCCGAACCCATTGAAACAGCTCGTTTCCTCGGCCTCCCGTTAGTTGAGCTTGACGAAAATGATTGCACGTAGACCCGAAAAAAGCGGGGCTTAGTAGTGCTGCTACAACAACGACAACAAAAACAACAACAACAATAACAGCAAAAACAACAGCAACTACACCACAACTCCACCTCAGTCAAGTGCAATGCTTGCGAGGGGTGGAGTCACCTGAGAGTCTGCTCAGGACTACGGACACATCGGCAGTGGACCACATCGTTTGTGGCCCCCTGCTGCTCAAACAGAGCAGCCTCCACGGCTAACCCCACTCCACCTGAGCAGCTCCACACAAACACCACAGCACCACAACATAACAACACAATAGACCACACCGCAACCACGACAGGCCACATAACAGACACAACCGCACCACCACCCACACGCCGCCGCCAACAACTCCTGGTTCCTCCTACAATCTGCACGGTATGTCAGACCAGGATATTCCGTAATGTGACATCAGTCAAGTGCGACACCTGCCTTGGCTGGTGCCACTTTAGGGCATGTTCAGGTCTGCGCACCACGCGAGACTTGACCAGGAGCTTCGATGGCCCGTGTTGCGCTGCACGGTCGCAAACCCCAACTGCGACGCCGCCCACTACCACCACAGGGCGGCAACCTCCACAGCAGCGCACACAGCCAATGGCGGCAAGGCCACACAAGTCCCTCACACCCCGCATAACTACACGTCTCCCTAACCACATAAAGCTCCCTCAATTCAGAGCAAGATCGAGCACATAACCGTCTTCATGGGAAGGCATGGTATATTGATAGCTGCGGTCCAAGAGACACCGTGCAGTATCGTCTTATTGAAGCAGACATAGACCGCAGGGACACCACCATAGAATGTCAGGGCATTGCTATCCGGCCAGGCGATGTTGAGCTCGAAATATTTAATGTGTACATACCCCCTGTCACTTGCTGCCCGGCAAGGTGAAAACCGTATGGTAGTAGGTGACTTTAATGCGCACCACGATCTTTGGCACTCAAGCCTGTCAAACGATCGTAGGAGAACAGACTGGGCTGAGCAGATAGACGATTCGACATTCTGCACAATGAACGTCGACGCACTCACCAGGATTATGGGCAGCTGCTGCAGCTCGTCAGACCTAACAATAGTCAGCGCTGGTCTAATAAACAGCGTATCGTGGCGACCTATGCTGACCCTAGCATCACAGCATCTGCCCATAGTCATCTCGATTGATAAACCTACCGACTTTGCTTCCGCGGATCACCGCACCTATGTCATCTTTTCCAAAGCTGACTGGAAAGACTTCGAGGATGTTACTGAAAGCGCCTTCACTGCCCTAATCGCACCAACCGTCGTTCACGTATGTGAGCGTAAATTCCGTAGGGTTGTCACTGCCGCTTTGGTCAACCGTGAAGTCATTGACCAACGACGAAGCATGACGACAGAGTTGAAATAGACTTTGGTGACCTCACTTCGTCGGACCCGGAGCGAAAGCCACCAAAGCCATTCTACCCGAAGGAATTTGTATGTTGATGCTGAAAAATTTGGGTCCCGCGGGTGTGGATTATTTAACCAAGATCCTCAACCTGTCAATGGCCACTCTCATCATTCCAGACATCTGGAAAATTGGGAGAGTCGTCCTACAACTTAAACCGGGGAAACCGTCCAACAAGGCAGAAACCTGTCGCCTGATAACTCTCCTTTTCCCGGTAGCGAAGCCACTTGAGGCCCTTCTACTCCCGCACTATACAAACCACCTGACCCCAGCGACGCATCAGCATGGGTTCCGTAAAGTTCACAGCACAACAGCACTGAACGCCATAAATACCAAGATAACTCATGGCCTCAACCGGAACCGCCCCTGTTAGAGAAGCATTCTAGTAGAGCTGGACCTGTCTAAGGCGTTCGACACTGTCAGCTATTTATTTATTTATTTATTTATTTATTTATTTATTTATTTATTTATTTATTTATTTATTTATTTATTTATTTATTTATTTATTTATTACAGTCATTTGACCTATATACATTCACGTATATACATTTGAATTATGTATTGCAATATATAATAAAGGTAAAGTTAAAATTAATGCTTAATGCTATTCAACGCTACTAGAAGACATAGAGACCTCCTCTCTCCCACAGGGACTCAAACGGACGAACTATGGGTGAATTCCAATACGTCAAAATACAAAGCATCAGTCTATTTAATATCTAAACAGCACTAGAAGAAAAAATCTAACTTGCGCAACTTAGTAGAAAACTAGCACCTACCCGTGGTTGAGCACATTTGGCATTACAATCTATTGAGGTTTAGAAATACTTGATGCTTTGTATTTTGACGTTTTGGAATGCAAGAAGGTCTTCAAGTCGCTAGCCGGCAGCACCTGGGGCAAAGACAAAGCCACGTTTCAGGCAAATTACAAGGTAATTCGCCGGCCGGTAGTGGATGAAGCTGCAGACTTGCCAAAACCCGGCCCTCAGGACAGCGACAGGATGCCTTTTGCTCATAAGATCTCCGTTGAGTATAACACAATGCTCGGCAGCAGTGTCTAGTTGGGAGCCACAGACGTGGTCCCGCAAAAAGACAACTGCTTACGGAAGAGCCCTTGCCCAGGCACGTCAGGAGGCATCTCTAGGAACTGACGGACGAAGTCCAGAGGTTTATCAAACAACCTCTGGACCCAACAGCTTATCGACAGGCCTTGAGCGGCAGAGAGGCAGTGTGGAGTTATGTAGACTCTTGACCTGTGACCGCCGTTCTGGGCACACAACCACCAGACGTAGACGAGACAGAACTTCGTCTGCCTCATCAGACTCGGACCACAATAGCCCAACTTCGATCTGGTTACTGCAGCAGGTTGAACTCATACCTGAGCAGAATAAACGAAGATGTTCTAAACGAATGCTAACAGCATCTCTTCGCAGGCCCACTGAACCCCACCCTACTGACGCCCCTGTCCCTATGGACAGACCCCATCGAGGCTGCACGCCTCCTCGGGCTACCGCCAATAGAGCTTGACGACAACGATTGAGAAATTAACCGATGTGGGCGCGATTGTTGCAGCCGCTACAACAACAATAACAATAATATTCTAATTACCTGTACAACGATACCAATTTATGGGAATTTTAAGATTTGGAAATTAGCACCTTGTCCCCTACTGCAATCACAATATTCGTTTGCACAAAAAATTTTATGTACCCTTGAAATCGGGAAAAAGGGGCGGGTCACCTCCACTTTTCCATGTTTCCCCCGGTGAGGAGTCGCTATTCTGCACTTGTGGAACTCTCCTTTCTGTGTTGCCGAAGAAAAGGAGCTGAAAACCTTTTGCAGAGATATTTCGTGGATATTTTTTGTGTGTGACAGTTCAGCTCGGAAATTTCCAAAAAAAAAACATTTTTAAAACCGAGATTGGTAAAAATTAGGGCACAGATATAGTATTTTTTTTATAAAGTGTATACCCTTGTCTACAAGTGTGTGTAATTTTTTTTTGATTCGGGCCACGCGTTTGGGGACACAGATATAGTATTTTTTTTAATAAAGTGTATACTCTTGTCTACAAGTGTGTGTCAATTTTTTTTGATTCGGGTCACACGTTTGGGGACATCAACCCAAAATCGTTGTCCAAATAACTAAACCGTACTTTGATGTTCTTTTCCCTCATATTATTGTAATTAAATTAAAGATTTTAATATTAAACTCACCTGATTTATCTTCAACTCTTTATATTTCTCCAGTTTGGTGTCATAACTAGTCCGAAGTATATCTTGTTCCTGGGAAAGGCTAAGGTTATTTTTCATCATTTCTGAAAGCTCTGATTTAAGTTCTGTTGTTCGTGAAATACGATCCAAGTAGTAACCAATAAATTCAACACTAAAGGCAGGAGCTATGTGCCACTTTTTGCGAATATCCGTCAGAGATGCAATCTGTGCTTCTTGTCGTTCAAGCAATTCCACATCAATGGCCATTATGTTTGCCTTTGACAATAATCGCTTACATGCCGAAGCAGAAGTTGTTAAAAGACGCGACATTTTTTGAGTTGGTACCCAAGGAGCGGGTTTCAACTTCTTGTTGTTCGAATACTTTGTCTGATATTTTAAGAGTTTGCGTTTAATACGTAACTGAGCTGGACAGGGATCGTCATGCTTAAATAAAATTTTTCCTTTCTGTTTTTCTTGCATATTTAACCGTAGATTATAGTAATTTCTTTTTCGACGCTTTATCATTTCTTTCTCCGAATGCACTTTACAGTGAGCAAAAAAAGGATCGGCTGCATCTGCTTCTTCATGATGTGCCTCCGTTAGAAATCCAGCCACCTGGGCACAAGTTACATGGAAATATGTCTTACACATGCCAGCATCACATCCAATACAAACACCTGTTCGTGCAAATCGCGGAGTTTCACAAAGACTACAAACTTTAGTTCCCCACTTGCTGTAGGGCATTTCGAATAAAGTAACAGAAGATAGTTGGTCTACTTCCCCAAAAGCAACTCCTGGTATATATAAAGCGCAAATTAAATGCACCCACTTTCCTACATCCGTTTCTTTGTATATTCCACCTTTATTTGGACATAGCTCACAAATTGGTTCGGAAACGCCGGCACGGCAAGCTTCACAAAACCACGGTTCAGTCGAACATGTAGAGTTTGTGCTTGAAATACTCAAATTGTCATTCACACCGTAGCATCCTTCATGTACAGATACCCCACAGCCATCACATTCTATTATTTCGTTTGAGTCATCACTCCGATCCCCCAGGCATACGCAACAAATAGGTTTTACTGCTTTTTTGGCCTCTATATATCGATGTATGTCTACTTTCTGCAAAGCTCTTATTTCTCTAAAACCATTGACTTGGGGCTTGGAAACATCAATTTTATGTTGCTCCGGTGACAAATCATCCGATATACTTTCGTTGTCAGTGCTGTTAGAAGACGAGTTTTCTTCATTACTATCCGGATCCTCCTCTTCGCTATCATGATCTTCTATTCTGAAATCGCTATCTGATGAACTTTCTCCAAGATCCAAATCTAAAAGCGCCTGAGTGGTCATTTTTGGTTGTCTTACACGCTGCAAAGACATTTTTTTTATATAAACATTAATCAAAAATTTTATTAAAAATGTTAAACAGTGGCAAAAAAATTACGAGTAGGCTTAGCAAACTATCGACAATAGGAATTCAAACCACAGTATAGACAGTAACCAACCTTTTTGGCACAATATAACCAGTAAACAACCTTCGGTGAATTTGGCGACTGCCTTCCTCGGGGATGAATATGCTAGGGATGAAATTATTGGTATACACGGCTTCCAAGCACACAGGGTTGCTTTTAAGAAACAAAAAATAATTAAATCCAAATAGTTTCAAAAAGTATAGTGTAAAACGAAATTTATTGAACAATTCCACATAAAATGGTATACATAAATGACGCATTTTCTAAACGATTTAAATTAAACGTATTTGCGAATTGATAGAAAAGTACTACGGATTGTTTATTTTTTGTTAACTATGAGGTGAATGAAAATTTTCAACCCGGTTTGATTTTATTACTAAGGCGTCTAATAAATTCATGGCTTTTTCTAGAAGAATAAATGTCAGTAAAGACAAGTCGTTTTTGTATAATTTCTGATTTTAATTGCTCAACTTCTTTTGAACCAGAGCAACTGTCAAAAATTTCCAACAGTAAAAAGTTACGAATTGGCACAGCAGAAATGTAAAATTTTCTCGCCATAATAAAAAGTTTTTTCAACATGGAACTTTTCTACTAATTGACATGAAATTACTACCTCAACGCTCGGAGCGCTGCCACTGAGGGCCTTTGCCAACTGATTAAAAAGAGAAAATTTGGTAAGACCAAACAAAAATTTTGAGATTTTTCGTTGTGAATACGAATGCCATAGTTTTTACCTAGCTCGTGGGGCTACGCAAAATTTTGACAACTTGTAAATATGTATACACATAAAGTTGTTGGCGGTAATAAGGAGTCAAAATTAAAATGGAGAAAAGAACAAAAAGCGTAGGTTAGTTGTCAGTTATAAAATAAATCCAATTTATTTGCGAATATTTGTTTATTCTTTTTATTGAAAGGCAACCACTCGGAAAAGCTTGTGTTAATTATATTGATAACAGAACCTGGCAGCTCGCACGTTGTCTAAATTCTCAAGTAACATAAAGTCCACAAAAAAATAAGTACGCCATGTATAAATTTTAACAATACACAAAAATAGAGTTTTCGCACGAGCGTTTGTATGGTTTTTCAACACCATTTATAATTTTCTTTTAATAAAATCACGATTTGACAAATACTTAAATTTATTTAACTAATAATAATACAGCACACAACCCTGAAATCTAAGAAAAAGTCTGAGGAAGGCCATTAAATAGCAGCACACAACCCTGTGCCTTCCTCAGAAGTGAATATAACTACAACAACAACGACTACTACAACAACAACCCAAAAAGCACAGTATAGCCAGTAAGGTCGGTGTTATGCAGACAAACTTTTGTTTGCCAAATTAAATGGCGGCTGCTTAGTTTGCTCGGAGGTGGTTATGTCGAGTTTGGCACAGGGTTGCACGTTCATTATGGTTTTCATGGCTATTGCCAACACGAAATGAGAATTTCAGATGTACATAACGCGCAAAATTTAAAATTTTTGTATATGGCAACACCGAATTTGCTGCAGTTTGACCAAACAAAATTAGTTTGCTGTTACTACGTTTATACGCATGCATAAGTCGCTTTAATTCATTTCGCCGCGATTCAAAACATATGTATAAACTGAATTTCAATTCGCTTTGAAAGAGCGAAGTGTTTTGGCTCACACTCCATTTCAAATCGGTAGTTTAATTCTCCAGACAGTTAGATAGAGCGTATAAACACTGCTCGCACTCAAAGCGAATTGGAGATCGGCTGTTCCGCTCAAATTCCAAATAATCGCATCAGTATTTAAAAGCTGATTAATAATAATTATTATAATCGTTCTTTTTCTTTGCCACGATTTTATAATGCCGAATAAAACTAGATTTTTATCACTTCCCATTATGTTAACTTATAAAATGTCAAATGAAAACTGCTGATTTTGTTTGCTTTTGAAGACGGTTACTTTGATGCCGATATAAAGCCGTAAGTGTAGACACTAGAGCGAAATGTGTACGGTGTCAATGCGCTTTCAATTAAGTCGATTATTCTGTGCGTATAAACGTAGTATGTGAGAGTCACCAAACTCGCTCTCTCCGAGTTTGCTGCAACAACAATTGCACGCAGTTTGCCAAACAAAATTTCTGCATAACACCGACCTAACAAACCTTCGTCGCCAAATTCACCGAAGGTTGTTTATTGGTTATATTGTGATTCAAACGATGCATCGATATTTTTGAAACATCGATAATATCGTTTCAAAATTCGATGTGTGCAATCGATGTTTACAATTTCCTAAAATCGCTAAATTTTCGATATATCGATGCCAGTTTCAGAGATGTTTTAACATCGACCTATGTCCTAACATTTTTTTTACTGGACATGAATTTTATTACTTATTCATTTGAGGAACATTCAGAAATTCTGAGTTTACTCTTATCTTTCCATATTAACAATTCTTACTTACTCATTAAAAAAGAACGAGGATGCCGTTGAAATTTGAACGAAATTGGGCCTTGGAATTTTAGGCTCAGTGGACTTACGACGGCATGCATATCTATTCTATTTATAGGAAGGTTAAAGGAATGGTAAATAAATACAGGGAAATACATCCACATGTAAGTATTTTTCTAATTGAATTACAGAGATTTTGAATTGAAATGTATTAAATTTCCCTTTAAATGTGACTACATGCTAACAAAGTATAAAACATCAGAAAGTATCGATATATCGATGTTTTGCTGGCAATGTATTTTAGCTTCGATGTTCGTTTTTCCGATGCATCGAAACATCGTTGTATCGATGTTACTCCCCAAAATTTTCATTTCTAATCGACAACCATCAAGGTATTGGCCCAATGCACGCTTGCTTTGCTTGCTTTGCTTACTTTAGTTTGCTTTGCTTTACTTTGAAGGAACTGAAGTAAAGCTGCCACTAGGCCAACTTTCATACATTTTAGTAGATTTTAAAAATTGTTTGACAGTTCTCAAAGCCAAGCAAGCAAAGCAAGCGTGCATTGGGCCAATACCTTCAGTAACGCCTGCTGCACGCTCTATTCCAAAAACTGAAAACGAAAGAGCGAGGAAACTCATAAGGCCCGTTTGAGTTAGTTAATCAATAAATATATACAACTTTGACGTTGCGTTGGCGTTGGCGTCGCTTCGATAGCTGATTATGAATATATGCATTTATAACCAAAGTTGGATATCGCCATTGCAAAAGTAAAACAGAAAGAGTGCCAACTCTCAACTTTTGGCGTGCGTCGTTCGTCAGCTGTTCCAAATAACGAAAATTATGTTAAATAATTTTCTTTTAATCAAATGTGAGCAAGAAATATAGTTTTTAGTGCAGCTATTGATATACAGTTTTGATTTATCTGCCGCTAGTATGTCAATTTAGTGACAAAACAATTCGGTGCTATGCGTTCATTGTTATAAGCTCGGGCGTTACTTGCGGTGCTGGCAAAGCGACGGCAGTGCCTACGGAATACCAAAGTCGTATGTAGACGAGATTATAATTTTCGAGTAATTTTTTGTTCAAGTTGAAAATTTCACCAAACAAAATGTACGATAACAAACCATCTAAAACAAATACAAGTGTGCAGAACACACACATCTCAACTAAACTAAAAGCGAAGGTACACAACATGCGTCCGCCGGCAAATGCGTCACGCCGTCAATGTCAAATAAAATTGAACACGTGCGTTTGTATGACAGCTGCTACAGATGTGCTTATCAGCTGGTTTTTGTTTTCAAAATTATGAGCGGCACTACGCAAGGAGTGTGATAGCAAATTTTTCAACGTCGTAAACGCACCAACGGATCAACGCGACGCCGCAACAAATAAAATTATGTACCTTCAGCTTTAGCTCTTTGAACGTTTATCTGCTTTATATTTATTTTAAATTTCATTGTTTACCGATGAGGAACACGTTTTATAAATTTGTTTATTTTCCATTAGAGAACCGAAATAGTATGTCCAGTGACGAGCAAAACTGTAACATGGTGTAACATATTTTATTTCAGCCACTGCTAACTTTCCAAGCTCTAACGTCATTAAGGGCCGGTTGTTCAATGTCTGATTAGCACAAATCGGAGCACAACTACTGCTTTATCGATCACATGTTACATGCATGATGTCGAAATCGTCGATAGTGTAGTGGTAGTGATAACCCGACATTGAACAACCGGCCCTAATACTTTTGTTGTATATTCCTATTGGTACTGTTAGCGCAGTTACTTGCTTGTTCATTCAAATGTATTAGTCTATTTGTACCTTAATGTTGTTAGAGTAGTTACTTGCTTGTTCAAGCGAACCCATGAACGAAAGACACAAGATCACGTAAGAACAAGAGAGTGAATAAAGTCGATTTTTTTAGCGGGTTCTACGCCATCTTGTTTCACTGGAAAACGAGCGAAAAGTAAACAAAGCAAAGAAAACAACGAAAACCAAAATTATTGTCGGCCACTTTAAACACACAATTTAGGTAAAATTATGCAATAAAATGCTTGAAAATGTGTTTTCATGTTCAATTAACTCTTCTTTACTTAAATAAACGTGTAAAATAGTGGTGCTTGTGATGTAAACAAACGCTCAGCTGACGAACCCGCTTTCGCAAACTTTTTCCTCAAAACCAGTTACAAATACAATGTCGCGTTCTTACGTGATCTTGTATTTTTGGTTCATGAAGCGAACCAATCCTCTGTTTGTGCCAGTGATGATAAATGAGTTTTTTAATTTTGTACAAAATGGCCAAAAAAGGTATACTAAATAAGCCGAGAAAGTACCAACATTTAAAATACCATACATACATAGTTACATTTACATATCGTCGTTTAAAGTGCAAAACCGCGTATCAACAAAATGCAAAACCGCGTATCAAGAAAATGCAAAACCGCGTATGTGAGTTTGTATAAATTATTTTCTGGAGAGTAAAAACACTCATATTTCAAAATGATCCTCTTTTTTATAAAGAAATCGCATTTCTGGCAAGTATATTTCAGGACGAATGGATAAGGTTTGAGCCAAGAGCTTGTGTGAGCGAAGCCAATGTCAG